TTTCCCCCCCCCCCCCCCCCCCCCCCCCGAGCTACCATTTTCCTCGTGAAGGGTCAACTTTCCCAGTTGCTCGATGTCTGGTGCGTATTTCATTCATGATTGATAATTTGATAGATTGATAGATTCGATCCCCTTTTTTGCCTTGTCTCGTCAGTTGTTAAACTTGTTAATTGGTACATTCGATGTGACAGACTAATTCGGGTAATCAAGAGAACTCTCTGTCATGAGACCTAAAAATTATTTGATCATGATGATATGTCAACCGCTCCCTGGTCTAAACGTATGAACCCGAGTGCATGGATTCTTTTAGAGCTCATCACGGTCAAATGATGCGAACGGGCTATCCCTTAGTCATAGTCTCACAACGATACCCTTCACATGTACTCCGCGTAAGCGTGTGACTCATTGCCTTGATTCAACTGTAGACGGGGTGAAAGACTACCAGTTGTTATTGGTAACACTATAGAATCTAGACACGTTCCATACCGCTGCCAAGGAAGATTATGCTCACATGAGGGCTCAAATTTTACCTGTAAATCCTTCCATGTGTGATGAGACCACTCATTCGCGGTTAATTTACACTGTATCACCGGTTCGTATATGCAGACAAGGATGGAACTTGTATTTGCTCCATATCTATCAGTAAGCAGAAGTCTCTTTGGGCGTGGCTTTGCTTATTGAGCTTGGCGAATTTTCACGGATGCGAAGGGGTAAGGATGCCGGTTTCGCCGCCAAGTCCTATATAATCATTGTAAGTTTGACGAAGTCCCAAAAGTGTGTCAGTGCCAGGTTCAAGCAGGCCAGCTTGTTGCAATAGTAGTTGATACTTGAAAAACTACACGCATTGACATGTTTTCTTTTTGACAATGCAACGGGTGGTCGACTTGGTGCAAATTGTAAGACAAAGAACATCATCGCGAGGTAAAACCATGCTGTGATCTTCATCGGGCCGATGTAGCCATCATTTCATAGTCTTTACCTAATGAGCAGCCTTAAGCGACCGGGCTTAGTACTTGCTCCAAGCTTCGAGTTGGCAGCCCATGGACTTGGCAAGAAAAAAGTGCACGTCCAAACACATTGTGCAGCTATTCTCCCTTTCTAGCGTAGTTGGATTCTGATGTAAGATGAGCTGCAGGTGACTGATTGAATTATTGAGACCTCAAACGCAGCCATAAGCACAGGGGAGAAAAGCATGACGTAACGACCATCCCAGTAAGTGGACGAGGCTGTGGAACCCATCGGCCGCAATGAGCATACGGTGCTAGGGTATTCTGTGCCTCGTGGCGTGAAGGCATTAATGCACTTCCCATGGTCCTTGAGAATGAGTTCCAGAACCTCAGATCCCTTATGGATTTTGTATGCTGGACTTGACAGATCGAAGTCACCCATGGCGCGTATGTTGTCGTTTCCATATGTGTTGCTTAGATTGGTTGAGACCGGAGATCCATCTACACCGAGCAAGCGTGGTGTACCAACACCTCGAGATCTCACATCGCCAGCATTTGATAGTGACAAAGAGAGGATGCCAGGTATGTTATGCTAGACAGGGCCGCCAAGATATATGAGCTCTGTTCATTTAACTTTTCTCCCCGGTGTGGCGTTCTAGAAGATGCGGGATTGGGCAATATGCAGTTGGGTGATGCTCCAGGCAATAACATTCGACCCATTTGACCTATTTTGGCACCATGTTTCCAATCAGAGTCTCTTGACGGTTCTGACCCGGGTAGCCGGTAATGCGAAGGATCATCTTGCGGCCTAAAAATGGCGGGTTCGGGATGCATGCCAAGTGCTTATTCGTGCGTATAATCCTGGTAAACAATGCATGAGAGGGTGTTGCAACCCGGGATCCGGGGACGATCGGCTCTGCAGACCGACATTTCAGCCCTAAACCTTGTATTCTCGTTTCGTGTTCCACGTAACGGCTAGAGCCAATACGAAGTAAGCCATGGGTACGGTAGCTCAATGTCAGCCTCAAGCCTCTCTTCAACGGCGGCCTCGGGGGCCGTTCTTATTGGATGCGCCGTCCTAGGCGTCAGATCACGCATGCAAGTACACTGTACTAATCACCAATGGAACTTCATGGTTAGCTGGTCCCGGCCCCTTGATACGGGCGTTGAAGGATCAACAGCTCTCAGTGCAAACGTTACAGTGCCTCAACATTGGGCTGCACCGAAGTCTATGTATGCCTGCATTGCATCGTGGAAATTAGAACAGTCTCACAAGGAGCAGAAGCGTCAAAGTACAAATAGGAGCCAGGAATCCCGATGTAATGTGGATTTGTTTCTGGTTCCAACAGCCACCTTCTCCAGCCCGGGCACATTCTCTGCTTGCTGTACAAACCCAAGAATATCTTTAATAAGCATTCTCTGTATATATCAGCCATGCGTTCCTCCATTCTTGTCGCCGCCGCAGCCGTATCCGTCTCTGGCTCCGTGCTACCTCGGGCAAGTTTTGGCGGTGCGCCTAATCTGATCCTGCCAGATTCCGAATTCAGAACGTTCGAGATCGTTTCCCTGGACGAGGCAAAGGCTGGAAAGGACCTCGAGATTCTGGGACTCCCCCAATCTCAAAACGATACAGCCGACAAAGTCCAGCTGACTGCCACCGCAACCACCGCTGAGTCTGAGGCCTGCAGCGCCAATCCAAGCATTCATGTTGAGTGGCACAGAGCCTCGAGCTCGCAACGTCAGGGATTCATTGATGCTGTGAAGTGCTTGCTCAACAAGCCGGCATCGGGCAACTTCCCTCCTGCGACCAACCGGTACGAGGATCTCGTAAGATTGCACCAGGAGTTCATGTCCGATGTGCACAGAAATGCCAAGTTCCTTGTCTGGCACCGCTACTACCTGTGGACGTTCGAGCAGGTGCTCCGCGATGAGTGCGGCTTTGCCGGGCCTATGGTATGGTGGGACGAAACCCTCGACTCTGGTCGCTTTGGCCAGTCAGAGGTCTTCAGCCCATCGTACTTTGGCAGCCTTCCAGCACCAGACCAAAACGGCAACGCAGTCTGTGTCAATGATGGGGCTTTCGCTGGTCTGGTGCTCAACATTGGCCCACAGGAATCCAATCGCCCTCATTGCCTGTCACGCGCTGGAGACGAAGGTCTCAGTGCACAAATCAATGATGACTATGTTGACTTGTGTAACGAGCGGACCAGCTTTGCCGAGTTTGCGAATTGTCTCGAATTTGGGTAAGTAATAACATCTTCCTGCCTCCCGAATAGGTCGCCGTCAAATTGAATCAATGGCTGACCCATATATCCTGGCAGTACACACGGCCTTGGTCATAATGCTATTGGTGGCCGGAACGGCGTTATGGCCGATGTGTGGGCGAGCCCGAGCGATCCCACCTTTTGGCTTCATCACTCATTTGTCGACCACACCTGGGAACTCTGGCAAAGCCTAGATGCCGCCATCCGCACCCAGAGTATTGGTGGAATTGACGCCAATGGCAATCCGCTTACCTTGGATACCGTGCTTACTGTGGGTGGTATCAGACCTGACGTCCCAGTGAGGGCAGTCGTCAACACTTTGAGTGGAGTCTCAATAGGAGGCGTACCTTTCTGCTTCAAGTACGACTCCTAGGCGTTACGCGGTGACCGGGTATCAAGTGGCTAGTAGTGACTAGTTTGAGGCATTCTTCGACGCGTACATATTGTGCCTGCCCGTAATTTTATATAGTCAACCCGTTGCCTTGTCCTGCAAATATTACCTGGAAAACTACGTATAGAGACGACGTCATATTCTTATAGAAACTCACATCGGGTTCAACCGAAATGACATTACTTGTAGCATGGGTATTGTGCGGGTGTACAAAGCAGCTTCTCATCGCGTCTGGTTTGTACAACGGCGGGATGTTCCATGTTCTAACATCGAATTGGATAATGGCAGCAAGTCTTTCTTGGATCACAGCAAGCATCTGAAGATATAGAAATGGAAGACCACGGAAGTCGTAGGGCGAATTAGTGCCCAAGATGCGAAAACCCAGGCGCCACCAAGGACCAACGCGCGATTGGGCTCCAATTGGGGATCCCCGCCACCTTTTCTAGACTAGACGACACGGTCATATCCTCCACTATGTAGCCGGTACATCACATTGAGATCTAGTTTGGGGCACAACAGTAGTCGACACCATCGGCTTCGGTGTCTCTAGAGATGATACAGAAACTAAGATACGAAATTCTGTCACCATGGGGATGGATCAACCCAAGCGAACAAAGCAGGCTGCCTTTCGATGACCGAGTAACAAGACGACGAAATTGTGGTAAGCGATCATGATGGGCATCTGATGTTGTATTTCATGTGTGAGGATGGTACCGAGTATCATACTGACCCCCGAGAGAAAGATGTTGAGCTCGGGTTGGTGGGACGTGGTATATAATTGTGGCTTGAGAAAATGTGGCTGTGCTTTTCCCGTTTCGTTTATTTAATTTCCCTCTTTTCCGTAGGTTTTAATACACCATCGCACTTTCTGCCTTTATTTTACGACTATTCGGTTTGGCGACCGTCGATTTATACGTCTATTTTACCTACACGAACAATGTACGTTCGATTCGTCGACACTGACGAGGAGGACTGCGTTGGCTGAGGTTGTGTGGGCCCAGGAGCACCACTCCAGTTCAATGTGCAACGCTAATTAAACCGCGATGGGTAATGTCTTGAGTACTGCCTAGAGTGTAAAGCTTTCATGGTCAGCCGTCCTTTGTTGGAAGGTGATCAGAATCCACATATGGGTATGCAACGGGCGGGGCATAATGGATACCGAATACCGACATTGGTTACTATCCCCTAGATGATGACTGGCTGGTTGTGTTCTTGCCGGTCTTGGCAGAAACTAGGGTTAAGGTTCAGCCGCCCCCTTCGGCCGGTCATGTCGGATAGTAAACCCAAACCCCATATTCGTCAATAGTGTCTTTGAACCGATCCGCCCTATTTCAATACAAGGTTTGAACTAACGAAGCTGCCAGGGCGGAAAAGGGATCAATCTGCCATTTGTGCCCTGATTTTAGCAACTTCCTCCACTTTTCATCTGCCGCGTACCACGAGGGAGATCGTACATGGCGAGTCATACTTCTGTCGTTTACGGCTGAACGCGATGGAGCCACAAGGAGAAAACACGGGGTATTCGGGCTAAGCTATTGACTTGGTCATCTGTGGGGTTGATAATCATATTGTGGGGGTGGACCATACCATTCTCAAGAACGTCGTTATAAGAAGCAAGGGTGATATCTGGATTTGGATGGTCAGACTACGTACTGTTCCATTTTGACCATCCCCTTTACTTCAACTCCAACTTGTCATAACTCGATTGATTGGACACAAACAGCGGATCAAAATCCACTGGTTCAGGCATACTTTTTCGTCATGGAGATTGCTGCCGTCTACGAAGGACTGTCAACCAAGTGGCTTACTGCCTACGACCTTGCTGGCTCAGGCTCGCCATGTCGCATTGAGGGCGAACTTGCGGACCTTGTCGTGCTAGGGGAGATACCGCCAGCTATTAATGGCACCTTTTATCGTGTCATGTGCGACCCGTTTGTTCCTCCGGACCCTAATAATGTGCCAATCGACGGCGACGGAAATGTGTCCGCGTTTCGGATACACGATGGGCGCGTTGATATGAGGCTTAAGTATATCGAGACAGAGCGCTACAAACTTGAGCGACGAGCAAATAAGGCTCTGTTTGGCTTGTACCGAAATCCTTTCACGCACCACCCATGCGTTAGGGCAGCTGTCGACTCAACTGCTAACACCAATCTCGTGTATTGGGCAAATCGGCTTCTGGCCCTGAAGGAAGTTGGCCTCCCTTATGAGATTGATCCAGATACCCTGGAAACACTTTCATATGACCCTTTTGGTGATCAGATCAAGGCAAAGACCTTTACCGCACACCCCAAGATCGACCCTTTCTCTGACGAGCTTGTTGTCTTTGGTTACGAGGCTAAGGGACTGGCAACTAAAGATATTGTCATTTACTCCCTCGACAAGGATGGGAAAAAGCATGATGAGCAATGGATCGAGTCTCCATGGTGCTCTTTTATCCACGACTGCGTCATTACACCAAACTGGATAGTGTTAGTCCTGTGGCCCTTTGAGGCTAACTTAGCTCGTCTGAAAGCTGGAAAGCAACACTGGGCCTGGGACTACAACTTACCGGCCACGTTCATTGCCGTACCCAGACGCAAAAGCACGCCGCTCCCTACTGGATGGAAACAAGGGGATTATAGGGTCTACTCGTGGAAAAATTGCATGCCAATCCATACTGCTGGCGCATGGGAAGGGGAAGACGGCAAGATCTACCTCGAGACATCGCGCGTCCATGATAATGCTTTCCCATTTTTCCCTCCAGACGATGGCCGAATGCCAGCACCAGATGCTAAGGCTGATTTTGTCCGCTGGGAGATCGACCTGAACCAGCCCACAGGCAGTACGGTGCCCGACCCGTCTATTATCTTGGACGTACCGTCTGAGTTCCCTCGCATTGATGAGCGCTTCATGACGCGCAAGTACCGATACCTCTTCCTCAATGTCTTCATGCCCCACACATCAGATGGCAAGAAGAATATCTTCCATGGCCTCAACGGACTTGCTATGCACGACCACGAGACGAACAAGACCCGGTGGTATTACGCGGGCGATGACTCGCTGGTTCAGGAGCCGATATTCATTCCGCGTAGTCCAGACGCCCCGGAGGGTGATGGGTGGGTCATGGCGATGGTTGAGCGACGTGCAGCCAATCGCAACGACCTGGTTGTGCTCGATACGAAAAACTTCGAGAAGCCTGTAGCTTTTGTACAGCTACCGCTGCATGTGAAGGCGCAGATTCATGGCAATTGGGTTGAAGGAAGTCAAAGATCCAAGTCGAAGAGCCTGGTGAGAGAGATTGGGGAACTCAGCATTAGTGGCAAGGGCGCGCTGGAGCCTCTAAGTTGAGATCATTAGAATGATCGTGCCTCCACGTACGGAGGACAGCGGTATTGATTTGTAGATTCATTCAATGACGCATTTTACTAGTCTTGTGCTCCTAATTCATCTGCAAATATCATACAATAATTGTAAACAGCATTACATTCAATTATGTGTAGGGCTCAACAGCGCCCAGCTGCCGTTGCGAATTGGTATCGAGCTAGTGAATATATGTCATAGTGAATCCTTGCCTCGAACTCCAAATTATAAAGCTTACCAACGTTGGGCTTTCACACTCCCCCAAGCAGGCCCTGAGTCTTCTGCAGTTCATGATTGCAAATCGTAGCCTTTGTCACTCCCACAAGTCGCCAGACGCCTCAATAAACTCAGACTTCTCACCCTATACACACTGGAAAGTTAAAGTTACATCAAGCCGACTGACTCAACGACGCAACATGAATCCTTTAATGTTGTCAGCTTTGTTGGTCTTCGTTCTCGCCAAAACGGTCCATGCTACGTATCGACAAACCTGCAAGAACATCATCTTCAACAAGAACGACCCCATGACTGGAGGCCGACCTTCGTTGACCGCCGACTGCCCGCAAGAAGATAACGGCTTTGTCCTCTGCACCAAGCTCGACTTGGGATTCTGCTACGCAAACCTAAGCGGCAAGTTGACGGCGCAGAACAGCGACGACGCGCGGCAAGGCTTCGGAGCCACATGCTGGGACTGCGTGTTCGCTATTAACACCCTTCAGTGTGTTTGTCCAGGTCCGAACAATAGCCGTGACACCACAACAATCAACACAGGTAAGCCCTACACCGTCTTCGCTTGCCACATCACTTTTTGGCTGTGTTGGCTGCGGTAGGTATTATCAACACTTTGAGCGAATACTAATTCGAAATATTTGCTAGATGAACTCATTGACAACAACAATGGCTACCTCAGGTGCTTTAATCACCTCTCCAAACCCAATTGTGGTGGATAGAGAGAAGGACTCGCTAAGGGGGATGCGTCATCCATGATTGCAATGGTTGACTGTGTGTTCATCGCCTATGGCTGCAACAGATAATAGCGACAGGCTGTAGCTGCGATGCATTCGCAAAAGTGTGTCCTAATGATTAAGAAAATCCCCATTGATCTATGAGATATTACTTCCCAAGCGCCCCATGATTTCGTAGAAGATGTGGGTATGCCAAAATCAACAAAAACTACGTTTTGAGAGCCGGGAACTCCCGTATGCTTTGTGCCATGGATGTAACATAAACGTCGTGAGTATATGCTTCTCCCAGCCTTCATTGTGTGTGAACATGTTTAAGAAAAAATTGTGCTATGTATTTGTTTCCAAGAACGATGTTTATATGATTCGACTCGTGATACTTCTTACTACCTTGTGCTGCTTACTTCAAGTTCTTCAAAATGAGCTCAACTTCAGCATCAGCGTTCTCCAACACATGCTCTGGTGAATACTTGGCCTGCCACCCAAGCTTTTTGTTGGCTCTTTCTGCCACGAAAGTGCACTTACCGCCCACCATGATAGGGACGAAGGACGCAGGGCAGCCAAGAGCTTTACCCATTTCCTCTAGAGCTGCTTTGTCCGCAGTCGCCACCGTGTCGTCACCAATGACGCCACGCTGCTTTAGAGATTTGGCGATTGCCGAATAAAGATCGTCCCATACAACACTTCCGGAGCTGGCCAGGTAGTAGCCATTACGACCATGATCTGGCTTTGCACCATTGAGGATGGCGCGGAGGAGGGAAATATATAGAGTTGTGTTGTCATAGACATGACAGACAGGCCAAGTCTAGGCATCTCAGTCAGCCACACGAGGTGAATAAGAAGGCTCCTCAGAGGCGGTAGGCTCTTACCGGTTGTCCTTGATCAGTGCGATATACGCGCCCAGCTCCTTTGGCAGCCCGCACAACCGCAACGGTCTGGATGGAAATTACGTTCCCGAATCCTTCTCCTTGACCATCTGTGGTGTGTTGGTTAGCTGAATTCACACCTTGGCCTCCCTGCTACTAGCGGTTGGTCACGCACGAGTTCAATAGCAAAGAAAAGGTTAGGTGAGAATTTTAACTTACAAACAATACATGGCGCAAAGATATACGCTTGAACACCGTGGACTTCAGCTTGCTCAATTACAAGGTTGTTTGTTGCTACAGCCTACGGAGAAGTTATCAGGAATCATCGAAAGTATTGCGCGACTGCCAAAGGTGCAACATACGGCCTGAAAAAACTCATTTGACGGCTTTTGAGACTTCTGGATGTGGTAGAGCTCCGGGTCTGTGTCCAGCAGTGGGCGGTCTGTAGGTGCATCCGCGTGAGAAGAAAAGATCTTTGCTCCTGTAGTCTATGATATAACGCAATCAGCCATAAATGACCATAAAAAATAGTGAAAAATGACTTGAAGTGCGTGAGAAATGTCTCAAGGGCGGGGGTGGCAGCTCACATGCAGAAAATGCACCTCACTCCCAGTTTGCTTCTTAACCTCCCCGAGGGCTTTGATAAATGCCAGTTGGGAAACCTCAGTCCGTGGATCAATCAAGTGGTACACAACTGTAATATGATGACTTCTCAAGGCTTCAAGAACGGCGTCTTCGTTATACGCGTCAAATCTGAGGGGCTCAGCGCCGTAAAGCTTCTTGGCCTTTTCAGCTTGATCATCAGTCCGTATCAGTGCGAAGAGCTTGCCGTAAGGTGGCAGGTTGGCTTCGCCCAGACGATTGAGCAAGGTGCCACCTAGATATCCAGAGGCCCCGGTGATTAGTATGTTGTGCGACATTGCTAGCGATGATTTGAATGTTTTGATGAAGTAAAGAGTAGCTGTTGGGATAGTCGCAGAAGGTAGGGAAAGCGGGGCTAGCGGATAGATGTCAGTTAATCAACGTCTCGATAACAACGACGACTACGACACAAGTTATATATTCCCACTGAATGAGACGTGATTAAGTAAGACGGGTGGGAGAGAGTCCTCGGGGAATTTCTAACCTCAACCTTGACCATTGTCCCGTTGGAAGCGGCGTAACTCTCGTGAAGTCTACGGGTGAGTGTGCAGCCTCAAATTGTGGGGCAGTGTTATAAATCCCAGAGTCAGGGCGAATGAAGTCCCGGCAGCTTACTATTGCGTCGTGCAGCGGCGATCAAGAAGGCGGCCAGCTGGTACGACACCGAAGACGGACGCATATCAATCACGCCGATTACTGACAGACAGGCAGAGCACGGAGACAGTGATCGGGCGAGGACGGCAATGGCGATGATATTGCGCCGGTGGCGTCCAGCAGGGAATATGATTGGCCCGTCACGGTATGGTGGCTTGCCTCCTGGCACTCAGGCACTGGATCTAGTGGAATATTTCTAGCGCCAGAGGTTGATAGCACAACCAAGTAAGGCGTCACCTTTCCGTACCGATGTATACTGTCGCAGATCGGGACTTGCCTGTTTTCGAGAAATGGGGGCCCGAAGGAAACACCTCTTGAGGTGTCGTGGCATAGCTCAACATATCACGACTGTTGCTGTTTCGACGTGCCAGGTCAAACCAGTTCCCATCTCATCCAGTGAAAAAAATAATAGTATCAGCCAAGTCTGGCATGGACAAGGTGTATTGAAATGCGTATGTAACAATGGCCTGTTAAACTAGAAACCACTTGGACAGCTCGCAAGGTAAGTAAATAAGTGCCCATGTACTTCGATGTAATTATCTACCTTATTTTTACGTTAATGAATACAGGGACTGGGGGACGCATTGAACCAATTTCCCCAAGTACCTAAACCTAGTCCCTCCTACCCCCTACGAGCTGGAGTTGGTGGGGCTTATCGATAGAGCTCCAGTGGGGTTCCAACTAAGTCCCCAGGCTACGTCACCCTGTGGCTACCGTTCACGATAACTTCAGGTCCATACTTACTCAATTGCAGCTTAAACTTGAGGAGGCCTAGTATATCTGCGCGCCACTGACTGAAGCCTGAGGGCTCCTATTCATCTGCGCTCCAAGTAGATTCAGCAAGAGCCAAGCCCCAGAACATACCACTTGGCTGACCCTCTCCGACCACCCACAGCAAGACACTTCTCATCTTTGGGTTGCCGCCGCATCCCGCATGCTTCGCAGCGCTCTCAGAATGTCACCAATCTCTGCCGCCGATATCCCCTCGCTCAGTCTTCTATACAAACTCAGGAAATTACAGCCTCCATCCGTGGCACCAGTCGCAGGCGCAACTCCGAACCACAATGACCGCATCGGATTGATCAAGGGTGACATAACTACGCTTGCGATCGATGCCATTGTCAATGCCGCCAACAACAGCCTTCTAGGCGGCGGCGGCGTGGACGGCGCAATTCATCGCGCTGCTGGTCGGGGTCTTATTGAAGAATGCCGTACACTCAACGGCTGCGACACTGGCGACTCCAAGATCACCAATGCTTACAACCTGCCCAGCAAGAAAGTCATTCACACGGTGGGCCCCATATTCGACGCCATCCGGCCTGAGAAGAGCGAGGCGAAGCTCAAGAGCTGCTACAAGACAAGTCTGGAGCTTGCTGCCCGGAACGGCATCAAAACGATTGCTTTCAGCGCCATCAGCACCGGTATCTACGGCTATCCTAGCTTGGATGCCTCTGTAGCTGCCTGTGAGACGGTCAAAGAGTTTCTTGATGGAGAAAATGGCTCCAAGATGGAAAAGGTTGTCTTTGTGACTTTCGAGGAGAAGGATGTTCGGTCGTACAATATGACGTTGCCGTAAGTCTGGTGCCCGTGATCTTTCTTGAGACACCGCTGACCTTTGTTTAATCGTAGCCGTTATTTTCCACCCAACTCAGAGACTTCTACTGAGCAGAAGAAGGCATCAAAAGCGCAGGAGGCCGAGGCGGAAGCTAAAGCTAGCCAGCTGCCCGATGTTCCCACCGCCGACCCAGCTGATCAGGATCATGCACAAAAGAAACAAAAGCAGTGAAGCCGAAAGTTGCTGTGGTATTTCCTCGTTTTGCAAGGTTTTTTTGGGCATGGCGTCAAGGAAGCGAAGCTTAAAAGGTGTAGTCTTTGTGCTGAAGTCCAGACAGGACTGGCATTAGGTAGCAGTCCATCATCAAGGCAGGGCTGTCACAGCTCTGGGCTTGCACTCCGAATCAGAGTAGGGAGCCTTCTTCTTTCATATCAATTTTCCTTTTCTCAAAAACCTCCACCCACTTATACAAAACTCTACGTACACATCGGTTTGAGTGGAAGGCGGAGGAGATCGTGGCTAGAAGAAATGAGGGTTGCAATGTCGAAATGGCAGGCCAAAAACTTGTGATGAAGCAGGAAACCAAACCATCGATTGTTTGTGGCTTCTGAAGTGGTTCGCAAGTGTGAGTTTATTTGGGTAATGAGGTTTGGGCACCCCAAGATCTACAGAGCAGGCGTCTCTGGGCCGCAGAAAATTAGTTGATGCAAGTCACATGGATGCCAAGGCAGAGGGCGTTCTCCTACACAGAGTAGTCGTTGACGAATGTCAAACATTTCGTAAGTTCTCAACTAAACAATGGATCACCTTGGATGACTCTATATTAGCAACTCCTGTGTGCAACATGTTTTACTTGAGCCTGTGTAATCTGGCCTATAACACGGCTTTTCTATTTTGGCCTGTATCGCAAAGGCCCTGGCTCGGGACCCGACGCCTCGACACGATTTCTTGGTATTGTGGCGGCCTTGGTACGAAAATACTATGGCCTAAGACGGATCCCCCTAATGATATGTCTTTGTCACGCCTTTTGTCCAGGCTCAAGCATCAAATCAACTCGTCCGATCATATCATGTTCGTTGTCTTTCGAAACCAAGAAAAAAAATCAATACCTCGCTCAACACCACACACCAGTCTGGTCGTCCTTTGTACCGGCAAAACGGCATAAGGGCTACTGTCAATTTTCTGACAGGCATTTACTACTTCACAACAGTGGCTCACATCGGGCATTCCGTCGCCTTAGTCTTCGTTTGCTGCGCTCCTATGATGAAAGTAAAGACCTGTGCCTGTCCGCATCACAAATGTACTAGCTGGGCTATGGACGATGATCCGGATGGGTACTGTGCGACATGCTGGAAAGCCAGTAGCATCGGAAAGACGCACCCGACCTACAAGAATTGCATGTGCTCGTGTCCTTGCCGGCTGCAGAGAGCAGACGGCGCATTTCAATGCGAGGACTGTCTGGAGGCGAATAAGAACAATACACGACGACATAAGATCCATTTCATACCTAAAGCAGGTACTTTCGGCAGAGAGTAGCGGAGGAGGCGACGTCTGCAGGGAGCTAATGGGCTTCGTACAAGTAAAGAAGTAGTGCGAGACGCATAGAGTGCCACAGACGATTTGGACAACGAAAACCCATTTAGAACTTGGATGTGACTGCCGTGTTCAAATTTCACTAAGATACTACGTGAAGTATAACAGAGGCATGCTGAAGCACTACGCCGCACCGAGCCTTGACCATCGGAGATGCGAACGCATACTAGAGTAACTGATCAGTAGACCCGATTCCAATCATTCTGCCAAACTCCGACTCAGGCTCAGACCCTGTCCTCGTGGCGTGCCATAGCCTTCTCGGCGGCGTCTTCCTCGTCGCCATGCTTCTGATGGCCACGGGCGGTGGCCTCTGACAGGTCGGCGTCATCCCTTGCATCAAACGAGCGGCTCAAGTGCTCCGGGCCAATAAGAGTAAGAATAATAACATAGAGGTAAACACACCCCATAAAGATGCAGATAACCTTTCCGTAGTCATATCTCTTCGTACTCCCCTTGGGCGTGAGTGGGAAGCGTTCACCAATGGTGGCCTCTATAGTCGAACTGGCGGACGACACCAAGTTGCCCAGTTGATAGCTGGTACCCACAACGAATGTACGGAATGCGCCTGGAGACAGTTCCATCAAATGAATCGGAATGACGCCCCAGGCACCTTGCACGCAGAATTGCTCGAAGAATGCAGCAGCTATGATTCCATGGTTCGAGACGAACGTGTAGGGATAGAGCAGAGCACCACCAATGATACACATGACGATAATGCTGATACGGCGACCGAAGATTTGCGAGCAGAAGCCCACAACTGTTCCACCCGTCATGGCCCCAAGATTGGCAACAACTCTGAATGGCGTTAGTAAGGCTCTTAATTTGATCTTCCTTTCCCTTAATTAAGCAAGGTAACATACTGGGTCACAGTAACCTCTGTGGCAGAAAAGTTGTACTGGTTGGAAAGCATCGTCGGGTATAGGTCCTGGGAGCCATGAGACATGAAATTGAATCCTGCCATGAGGAGGACAAGGTATGTCAGCAAGAGCCAGTGCCTTTTGAGCGCGATCTTGCCCTCTTCGACGAAGGTACTACCAACGCCACCACCTCCGTGGCTTGCAAGTTCTCTATGCTTCTTATACGTGTCAGTCTCTGGCAGGAAATACCGCCAGATAATGAAGATGACTGGAGGACAAGCGCCAAACCAATAGAGTGGTCTCCATCCGTGCGGTGTCGTGTTCACGAGGCCGCGAGCAAAGGCGGCAGCGAGAAGGTATCCAAAGGCATAGCCTTGTTGGAGAAGCCCGCTCATCAAGCCCCGGGCCTGCGGGGGCAGGTCTTCCAGCGCTGTAGCAGCAGCATTGCCGTAGAGACCTCCCATGGCAACGCCAAAGAGCGCGCGACAGGCGAGGAATTCGCCATAAGTGCTGGTAAATCCAGTGCCCTGCGGAAGACGTTAGCCCACAGTCAGAAAGCTGAATGGTGTCAAACGCGGCGTGACTCGGTTCAACGGTAGTGCTGCGCACCAGGGAAGAGTGGTGCACCTGCAGCCAAGGCGGCGCCCAGCGAAGTGGCGGGCTTGGCTCCAGGGAATGTGAACAGACAATTGCGGACCGAGGCCAGCCTCAAAAAGCTTGGTAGCAACATCAACCGCGAATACACTTACAAGCTCGAGAACTATGAACAGTAGGTTGTTGACGATGAAAGGCCACTTGCGGCCGTATCTATCGGCAGCAATACCAAATATAATGGAACCGACGGACCGGAACATCAAGACCTGGAGATTGCAAGTGAGCGACAGGGTCCACCACACCAGTGCGGACACGGAGTGAGCAGTCGCCTACCAGAGTTATGCCCCATGTAATATCTGTATTGCTCTTCCCAAAAGTCTCGGCGAGCTCGCTCACCGTCAGGGACACGGTGAAAAAGTCAAAGGCGTCCCAAGTCTACAGGATACGGGGCGAATTAGTTTGCTTGAGGAGAAGAGCGTTGGCGCTGGAAACACATACCCAAGCCCAGAATGCGACAAAGAAGAAAGCCCAATGGCGGCGGCTGAGCATACGGACGAGTCGGATGGGATTTGGGGCCTTCACCATCGCCGGCTTCAGACTGCTGATGCGAGTTGCCAGGTACTTCCCACTGGACATGCCATGGTGAGGCGGGTGTATGTTTGAGTTCTGGGCGTTGTAGTCGCCAGTGCCATCGAAGGCGCCAGGCTGAGCGCCTTCTGTCTTCTCGTGGGAAGCCATGCTCTCCTTTGATGTGATGAAGATTTTGTTGGATCTCAGGACGAGCCGACTTGAATGACGAGTGCAGGATGAGAAGGCTCTCAAAGTTTCTCAGATGGGCTCGGTGATTCTTTTAACTCCCTCGACGTAATAATTCAGACGGATGGGTGCGCCATTCCGTTCGATCTGGGACCATACCCACCCATGCACCCTCTGACTCTAGTCAGCAGCGCATGCGGGGTACGACAGCATGCCATATCAGTTGTGCGATAGCTGAATGATCATTATGGGGGAACACCAGCAGGCTGGAATCCCCAGGGTCTCCCGGTTGCTGGTAGTCTGGGAGCGAATGCTGGAATGGCAATGATCCTCGTTGGGACTAGTCCTCCATGCGGTCGCTTGCGCCAGTCAAGGCAAACCCCCGGACTTGCCGGGCAGACTGACGAATGGCTACGCCCACTAGGCAACTGGATGCAGCCCATCATGTCGGTGAGGGGTGTAATGGTGGGCGCGATAAACGGTCCTCGTGAATGTCAATAATGGCGCAGAGACAGCCCAAGAGGACCAGGTGCATGAGCTGAGACACCACAGTGCCCGGGCGTCTTCAACAATGATACCTATTGACAACTGGAATCCTACGTCGGCAAGGCTCGGATTTCAACAGCCAGAAAGACATGCCTGTGACCGTTGCAGACAGCTCAGATGGACATCGAGATTACGGCTACTCAAGACTGCATAATCGGCCACTTAAGGCCTGCAGTGAGTCTCGAAGAGTGGAAACATTTCAAGGCTCAACAGCGCAACCAAACGTCAAGCATGAACGGTGCTGGATGCTGATGACCCACAAACCACAGGCCTAGTCATAAACCGTTCAGCCTCGATTACTTTAATGTACGTCTCACGGGCTCAAACGAGCTGTTGTTCAAGAGTTATTAGGCCGTACACGTCGTACATCCTGTGCACGCCCGTTGAACGAAGGATGCGCTAAATGTGATCGTCAGCCAAGATTTGGGGTCAGTTGGGGAAGCCCCAGCCCCTGCCCCAGGTCTCCATTCCCCCAACTTCTAGTTACATGACCCCACTTGGGGTTCCAATCAAGTGTGTGCTTGAATCATTACGCTTGACTCAAGGCCCTTCCAATACCAAGTAGTTGGGTATCTGGCTTATTAGTAAGTGATCCCTCAATTTGTGTAGTATGGTAGTTAGCAAACATGTTTCGTTCGGGGAGCCATGTGCGGGGAATCCGGGAACTCTAATCTGGATCCCATACGTATAACTGTGGGCGAAGACTTGCGGCCTTGTTACGGCCCACCACATGTCAATAACTGAGATGGAGGGCCTTTTGTATTGATAAGATGTTGTGACGTGTCGCGCATATACTATTCCATATGTTCCACCCCACAGGCTCATCGCTAGGCTCCATCGTCAGTGGTCCCTCTGATATGTTAACATGACAGATTACAGTCCTATCATGGCCGTACGACGTCTTTCCTTGGCTCATATCACGGAACCAATTGCGGTCGTGGTAGCCCTGCGCATTGATGGTTTGATCTGAGCGCCACGGTATCCAAGCCACAGCTGGTGGACGCGTAATTCAAGGTCACAAGACCTTCACTTTCTTCCCGAAGTTGCACAGTTTCAGTTTGGCACCGGCCCATGAAAAGACTGAAGACAGCGAACACCTTCAGTCTAGGCGCAAGCACAGCATATTAGCTTTCTAGCTTCTTACTGGCTCACCAACGCCTCGAGATGAAGCCATCAATACAGTAGGGCACTGCGCTCCACCAGAACATAGCTGCATGCGTTTCCATCGTACCTCTAAGTCGCATGTCACTAGCCCGATAGCGCGTGCACGACAGTGCGAACGCAAGGGGCATAGACTTACAAATGCAAGTGGATATAGGCACAAACAGGTCCATGGTGGTCGAGGCCTTCCAGGAGCTTTGCTACCCAGGCATCTGCTTGCGTCTCACCGATGTATGAGAGAATATCAAAGTGCGGAGAACATCAAATTATAAACCGCAAGACGAGAATACCACGGTTCGGCAAGTTGGACACTGGACAGTCTAAGAGGACTGAAGGAATATATATAGTCTGCTTCGTAAGTTCATCTATTTTGTGCAAGTTCCCGGCGCAGTGTTGTAGTAACGCTGATGTGGTCGCCAGTATTCATTGGAGCATTACTTCAATTATCGACACTTGCACTCCAGCCTGTTTCCTTTTATGCAGGCTACTCTTGTCTCAATCCTCTCTATCTCGAAGTTGAGACTTGTCTATTGACAGCAGTTCTGTCTATACAAAGATTTAAGCTCGTAACCGATCCAGGGAAATTGCCTCAGAACTAAAATGATGACAAGTGGATGGTCGAATCGGGACGGAATATAGGAATCGGCTCTATGGGGAAAACCTCATAGGACAGCTGATTATGCCCAACTCCGGCATCCTCGAGTACTGAAGCTGGCCATCAACTTCGAAGTCCCTAGTTGCTCGTAAAATCACACGAACAGCGGTATCGATAGCCCTGGTATTTCATGGTGGTCAGCAAAGTAATACCGCTCGTACGGGACGCATACGCACAACCTTGCAAGGGGCATCCCTGCACATCGATGCCTCCCTCTCCCGAAACCAACATGCGCGGCAATATTCTCTCTATGCAGAATGAACTTGTCGGGTTCCTCAAATACTTCGGGGTCGCGGTTGGCAGCTGCGTAGCATAAGGTGATAGGCTCGTTGGGATGGATAGTCTCGCCATGCAGTTGAACGACCTTTGATGTCGTTCGGGCGAATCCGCGGTATGGACTATAGAGGCGCAGGAACTCTTCCATTGCCGCAGGGATCAAGGCTTCATCTTCTCGCAACTTGTTTTGTAGTGCTTTGTCTTCTGAAAGATGCTTGCAGATTGAGCCGATCAAGATGGGTGGTGCAACGACGCCAACGACTAGTGATTGTCTCACGCAGCCCCTGAACAAATGTCAGCGGGTGCAGTCTCTCGTACTAGAGATTGCCATTAACTTACACCAGATGCTCCTCGCTCAATGAGTTTCCGTCGGAGTCCTTTTCTAGCAACAACGAAGACGCTGGATCTTCTTCTGGGTCTCTTGGGTTGAGGCGCCGATCCGCAAGTAAGTCCCGCGCAATCTGATACATCTTCGTCGAGTTGGCTGTTACGGTTTCGCCGTCCTGCATTCTCCATGCATTCAGCCACGCTGCTGCAGTTACGGCGAGCATCGGAGCAACATCTGGGTCTAGATTCAGCCACTCCGACTCCACATGGGCGACAAAGTTGGCTGCAAACTCGGCACTGATATCGCCTTGGCCGCGCGTGATCAAGGGGGCAAGTTCATTCTCAGCGTGCATTCGTAGTGGCTCTGCGAGTCTACTCAGCCGCGCTGGTTTAACAGTGCGCTCCAGGGCTGTCCGAAAGGGCGTATGTGCTGGGGCATCAAAGTTCAATGGCGGCCGACGGATGCCTCTGGGATCACTGGGGACCACAGCTTTGACGCTGGAGATATAGGTGTCAGAGTTCATGGCAGCTCTCTTAACATCCTCGTAGCGCGTCATTATCCAGTATCCCCCGTACTGGTTTGTATGGATGATGGGGCAATGCTTCCGGAGGTAGTTGTACTCTTCGTAGATTTTTGCAGGATCATTGCTAATGACTGCGGCGCATTTGTCAATATCGAACCTCTCATCTGAGCCCTTAAAGGTTTGTGACGCTTTAGCGGCCATTGTATGGCGATGGAAGAGAATATATTTTGTGATGATGCTGACCAGCCACAAGAACACGACTTCGACGGCCTGATGTGTTGCAGAAAAGAATCCATCGATATGACAGATTTAGATAATGTTTATGGAGGCGCAACCCGACTCTTCGGGAACTTTACCTAGCTTGTTGTACGACACAAGGTTTCACCATTCAGCGTTACCGATTCCGAATGCCGCCACTGACCAACCCGTGTCTGGTTCGGTATAATCCATAGCGATTGGATAGGCTCAGATACTCAAGTGCCAAGCCGGGACAACTAACCGTTATAACATGAAAGCCTAGGGTTTGGCTGCGGGGTACCTTGTTGGAGGTTGAGGGTTGTCGGTGTTGCCACTCGCTGTTTCTATACCAAAGCGGAAACGAGTGGAGGGGGCCATCCGAGATACGTCAGTGAATCACCATGTTCCCTTTGCTCCTTGCCATCTAGGTACGATCGTAGATCAACGCTTATCAGCCACGGCTCGAACAAGATCCGCGAGATTAGCTCCTGACCTACTACTAAATTAACTAACTCTAACTTTTCTTCTGTCGGTAGAGTGATTGTGCTATACACAGCTATGGGACCGGTTTTCCAAGATGCAAAGGGCACTGATGATGCCAGACAGGTCGAAATTGTGCAAGAAGATCTCGCACGCGCGAGACAAGTACATTATCGACCTCAGACCGATGAAGAGAGGTATATTGACAGGAGAGTCAATTTCAAGTTGGACCTGTTCGTTGTCGTAATTTTATCCCTTGAGTTCATAGTAAGTATTGGGTTGGGAAACATGCGAACCATTGAAGACTGATGCCCAACCTGCGTGTACAGTTCTGTGGTATCGACAAGACCAACATTGGATTCGTTGCTACCAGCTCCTTCGTTAAAGACGCCAACCTGAGGCCCGACGACATCCCCAACTCCCTCTCCCTCTTTTCTGCCACCTACGTCCCGCTTCAGCCGATCATGACTATTTTGGCCCGGCGGATAGGCGTCAAATACTTTATCACGTTACAACTCATACTCTGGGGTGGTCTCTGTATGTGTCACGCTGCTATTAAAAATACCGGCACACTAATCGCACTTCGGCTTCTGATTGGTGCCGCTGAGGCAGGCTTCACACAGATTGGAATGTACTACATGTCGACTATGTACCCCAAGTACGCAGTTGGTCTACGAGTTGGGATTTTCACTGGCATGTACTCCGTCGCCGGTGCCTTCGCTGGACTACTCGCCTATGGGCTCCTTAAGATTGAGTCACCTCATCTACACGGCTGGCAGGTTGTCTTTCTCCTTGAGGGCGGCGTTACCGTGCTGCTTGGCATCATATCATTCTTCATGCTGCCGAAGAACCTGGCTTCAGCATGGTTTCTTACAGCGCAAGAACGCTCCCATGCTGTTTACCGTATGAAGGTTGACCTTGCGGGCACACAGGAAGAAGCCGACATCAACAGCACTTCCGTCACCAGCCGCGATGTTGTCGACGTGGCCAAGGACTGGAAGAAGCTCATGACTATAGTTTGCAACATCACAACAGTGCTCCCTGTTACCGCCTTTACGACCTTCCTGCCTCTCGTAGTCCAAGGGATGGGATACAAGGGCGTCGACGCAACGCTCATGAGCGTACCACCTTTCGTGGTGTAAGTATGCCCAACAACAATGGCCTTGTAAGATTTGCACTCAACGAAAGGACAGGGGCACTGCTGGTCTTCTTATAATTGTGTGGTCCAGCGATCGCTGCGGAGAGAGATCTCTCCACACAGCATTTGGCATGGCTCTGGGCATCGTTGGCTGTATCGTGATGGCTGCCTCTTCCGAGAACCAACTGCGATATGGTTTCGCACATGTCTGCATGGCTGGTGTCTTTGTCGGCGGCCCGCTGGTTGCAGTCTGGCTAGCAGGCAACACTCCATGGAAGGGCACCAGAAGCGTGGTTCTGGGTATCAATGGCTGGTCCAACCTCGCTGGCGTGATTGCTGGACAGGTATTCAAGAGCGGATACGCGCCAAGATGTAAGTAATTACGCAACTTAAGTCCGGAACCTGGCTGACAAATCCACGAAAGACGAGACGCCATTGATTATCACCGTGGTCATCATGGCAGTAGGAGCCGTCGGCTTGATATTCATCCGTTATATGTACATGTTGGAGAACAAGAGAAGGATTTGTGAGGTGGCAGACTGGGATGAGGCTCGGTTCGTAGCCGAAGCTGCGTCTGAGGAGCGGCGAGGAGACCAGAGGTGGACATTCCTGTATGGGTCCTGAGCTAGCCGCATCAGGTTATACATTAGGTCCGCTCAAGGGTAGCTTGCTATTAATTGGTCTACGTTGTGCCACCGTCTTGCATACTGATGACAAAGCGCGAGGCCTGTGTAACTAGAGATCGCAGAGTGTGAATTGTTGACCAGCATCTGCCCTTGCGCGATGTGGTGAAGCAGCACGCTCTACTCCAGATCGTGCGGACTTTTGACCGGAGTTAGGACAACTGGCACGACCCCTCACTATAAAACCCCAAGACTTCGGTTTTGGAGATGGTGGTCCCAGACCTTTACCAAGCACACTTGCCGATTGATTGATCTATCCTCACCCTCTGCAGTCCTTCTCGAGTGAAGCAAGAATGACGAACGACATCCGAGTAATTCTGGGCCTCATGGTTCAGGGGCCTGACCCGAAGCTCGGCGCGAGGATGACGGAACTGGACGATACCAAGAAGGCGCTGGATATCTTCCAAGAGCGCGGCTACAAGGAGCTTGACACTGCCCGCATATATGTTGGCGGACTCCAGGAAGGCTGGACGAGGCAGGCCGGCTGGAAAGAAAGGGGGCTGTCAATTGCGACCAAAGTGTTCGCTGCACCTCTAGGAATGCACAAGCCTGATAAGTTTACCGAGTCATTCGAGACGAGTCTGAAGGAGCTTGGCACGGACTCTGTTGACGTTAGTACTCATATATACGGAAGAACCTGCAGCGAGCGCTAACGTGGCTTAGATACTGTATCTTCATGCACCGGTAAGAGTTGACGCATCCCTGACTTGGCAGAACCATGAATCCTGATAGCGTCTATTAGGACCGAAGTGTCCCGTTCGCCGAGACGCTCGAAGCCGCCGACAAGTTGCACAAGGCCGGCAAGTTCAAACAGCTGGGCCTGAGCAACTTTGCGGCCTTCGAGGTGGCCGAGGTCGTCTTGACTTGTGCGAACAACGGCTGGGTACGCCCGACAATCTACCAAGCGCACTACAATTGCCTGGCCCGTTCCATCGAGGACGACCTGATCCCCGCCTGCCGCCGATACGGTCTCCAAGTTGTCATCTACAGTCCGATCGCGGGCGGCTTCCTGTCGGGCGCCATCAAGTCCAAGCACGACAACCCCACCGAAGGCAGGTTCAAGGAATCACCATTCCAGCAGTTCACGAGGGGCCGCTACTTCAAGGATGGCATCATTGAGGGCGCGCAGCTGATCGCGAATGCTTCCGAAAAGGCCGGGCTCAGTCCGTTCGAGGTTGCCATGCGTTGGCTGGTGCATCACTCGAAGCTGAACGTCAAGAATGGGGATGGCGTCATCATCGGTTTCAGCAATCTAGACCAGCTCAAGGACAACTTGGACTATCTGGAGAAACCCGCGCTGCCCGATGATCTTGTGGAAGTGCTGGAGCAGGCTTGGAAACTGGCCAAGGGGGAATGCGCCCTGTACTTCCTCGAGGTTCCGCAGTACACCTATGATGCGAAGCAAGTCCTGTTTGGGACGAAATAGAGACTAGGCGCGTGCTATAAGTACTCCACTAGCTTCGCATTGACTCCATGGCTCAATTTGTGGGACTGCTATCTTTGGAGGCGTAGTATAGTATTTCTATATTATTGACAATAAGTTGGTCGAGTCCTGCCTTCGCTCCGAGCAATTAAGTAACTGGTTACATGGCAAACTAGTAGTAGACTGTTGGCTTGACCAGCGTCCCACTCTCGCTGCCGTCGTAATTATCATCAATCTAGATATGGTACTAATGGAGTGGACAATAGTCATGTTTGGGACCAAAGCACACTCACAAGCCAGTAACATTCTATCCTTCCGGCATTGACTATGCCTGCATGCATGGCTCGACTCAACATGGGCATGACACACACCTGGCCGGACCAATTGGACATACTGGGTAGTTTTGCACGTAGAACGGCAAGTTGCGCCCATCCATGTACACACCACTGCCGCGCGAAGACAACCTCACAGATCCGTTCGGCGACATTCACTTGGCTGGTCGCCATGTCGAGATCACCAACATGCATACTGCAGTATTGCAAAGTCTCTTGTCGTCGGGCTGGTCAGAGCTGATTTGGGTGGACATTGCGAAGTCGGAGGACGGCATAGGGGGGCAGGTCGTGGAGTAGGCTTGACGAGAAGTAATGTTCAGGTACAATGAGTTGATTTCGGCAGAGGGCAGGCACCCTGGTTTGCCGAATGTGCTGTGCGTGCCAACATGGGCAAAACGCGGAAAACAAGTTGGTATCATCCATTTTCGCTGCCTCGTATCTGTCTGTGTGATATACCGTACGTGGGGAGCGGCACCAACAACAACGGAATGACTGCCCTCTTAGACGCCATCCCAATGCAAGTAGAAAGAGCAAAAGCACCGGCTCCCTTCTGTTCTTAATCCGGGGCGTCTTTACAGCCGTCCCCGAATCTTCTAGTCCATAGCAGCTTCGCCGCCGCCTTCATCCTCAAGGTCGTCGTCCCCGCCGTCAAAGTACTGCTCGGCATTGTAATCGCCACCATCCTCGTCGTCCTCAAAGTCGTCGTCCTGTTGGGACATGTCGCCGTCTTCATCTTCGGCATCCTCGTCGGCGATGTCGTCGTCGGCCTCCTTGCCGGTAGCAGCCTCCTCGATGCGGCGCCTCCGCTCCTCGTCGGTCATGGGCTTCTTACGTTGTCCAGACTCGTCGAGGTCGTCGTCGTCGTCGAGGGCAAAGGGGTCCTCGTCGACGGCCATGGACTTGCGCTTCCTGATGGGGCCCTTGGGCCCGCCGTCCTTGTTGTCGAGGGTGTTCCACAGCTCCTCGGGGAAGAAGTCATGGTGGAAGGGGTGGCCTCGCAGGTCGGGCATGGTGCGGGTCTCGGCGACGAACTGGTGGGTGTACATGGGGACGGACAGGAAGGGGTCGATGGTGGCCTTGTTCTTGACGCCGTAGCGGTCGTTCACCTGCTGCTGGCCGTAGGCCTTGGACACGGGGTCGGAGAAGTCATCCGAGGCGCTGACGGACTCCGGGGCCAGGTGGCGGTGGGTATAGAGGCCCGAGTTGTGGAAGTCGCGGCGGAACTTGACCAGGTAGCGGACGGCGCGGGCCTCGGAGGGCGTGAGCGGGTGGGCGCTGGCGAGGGGAGGGCGGTAGGTCTTGGGATACGTCTCCTGGGGCTGGTCGAGCGTCGGGTTGGGGTCATATTCCCACGGCAGACCGGACTTGCCGCCGCCACGAGCACCTCCTCGCCCGCCTCGCCCGCCGCCTCTGCCGCCTCCGCGTGCTGCCATGGGAGGGGGGCGCTATGACATTGGCGGGTGTTCGTGGATGTGTGAGAGAGACAGACACACACAGACGAGGACCCAGGACTCGATGTCGCCAAACGCGCCAGGCCGGGTGATGCGCTTTGTTGGCTGTCGTGTGTTTTCGTGTGTGTGTGTGTGTGTGTGTGTGTGTGTGTGTGTGTGTGTGTGTGTGTGTGTGTGTCGTGTCGCACAATCCGGCAGGGACGTCAGATCTGAATCTGAATCGGAATCGGCATGGATATACTCAATAAAATGGATCTATCACGGGCTGCGGCTGGTGGTTTCGTCGCAAAAGTTTGGTCGGCGGAACGCAAACCAACTTTTCAGCGGGGCAGGGCCGGGCTGGTGCGCGGCCTGGATTCCGCTGAGTCACCTGGGACAGTCGAAGCCAGCCCTGGAGGCTGGAGGCTGGAGGCTGCCAGGGGGGTCTTTTTCCACGCGATCAGCCACCTGCAGGCTATAGCTCGGTAACTAAAAGTACCCCGCGGTGGCCCCCTGGCACCCCTGGCACCCCTGTCCGCCTGTTCAGTCGGATGCGTCCATTGCCTGCTTGGTGCTTGAGGATGGTCCCCAAGTACCTAGGTAGCCCTGGAGCTGGAGGTATGATGGATCCATATTGGATCCAAGGTATAGCTACTTCGCTAGCAGGTCCACGACAGCTTCTGTTTGCCTGAAGCTGACCACGCAAACTACAAAACCTCGCTCACACTTTCAGGTCTGGGTCCAACTCCAGGTCCAACTCCAACTCCAACTCCAAGACCAGGCGGCCCGCCACTCCACTCCACGCCACGCCACGCCGTCAACAAGGTCCATTCACTCGCCTACTGTCCGTTCTTTCCACGGCGCCGCTGTGTGCTCTGTTCCCTTCCCTTGCGAGTCTACATGTCCAGAATCGCCGTCAAGATGGACTCGGACTCCATCCCCGTCACCGGCGTCGACGACCTTGACAAGCACCTGCAAGATCTGCTAGCCGACCCCAGTCTCCCTCTCCAGGCTAAGCTCTTTGACGATGTCGAGCTGCAGTTGACCGGTGCGTAGAGTCTTCCGTGCCTCCCGACGAGGTGCCGTGCTGACCTGGTTGGGCCTCGTCCACAGATGCCAACATCCCACCCCTGATCCCCCGCCTGCTCCCCAAGATCACCGACATTCTCAAGCAGTACCAGCAGGACCCGGCCATGCTCTGCTCGCTTGCTATCCGCCTCCTGCGGCCCCTGAACTTCACCCAGGTCATGTCCCTGGCCTCGGAGGATGCCATCATACAAGCCCTCAGATCCCCCGCCCCGTCGGCCAATCTCCTCGCCATGGCCGTGCTCGAGAAGGCCGCCAAGTCCCCGAGCGAGGCTGCCATATTGGCCATGATGAAGAATGTCATCTCCAACTTCATCGAACAGTGGCTTGGCGCTCCGCAGGTCGAGGTCGGCGAGAAGGGCTCGAGGGTGCTGGGCGACCTCCTGGACGTCGACTGCGACACGAGACCGCACGACGGCCTCTCCCTCAACGGCATGGAGATCGCTGTGAGGAGGCCCCCGGGCCAGGGCCTGCTGTGGCGGAGGATATTCCAGGACCGCGACATCTACGGCCTGCTGCTGTCCCTCTGCAGTGTCGGCCCCCACCAGAACGCCGACGGCGGGCTGAGCGCCCAGCAGCTCACCCTGGCCCAGGGCCGCCTCTTCCGTGTCATGCCGCGCCTTGCGGCTCTGAACCTTGGCGCCGTGGCGCGGACCGACTTCTCGGACCTCAACCAGAGATACGTCCACGTCGACGGTAACCAGGGGCTGTTGCACTTCACCGCCTTGCACATGATCGACAAGGAGGACATGCTGATGCACCTGACCCTCATCGACTTCTTCGAGACCCTGCTGAGCATACAACGCATCACGCCCTTCTCCACCTTCAAGATGGAGACCTTGCAGAAGCTTTTGCGCGATGCGACTGCCCAGGACACTGCCTTGAAGGCGGCCATCCTCAGCTTGCCGGACCGGACCGTGCCAGAGGAGGCCGGTGACTTGAGGTCATTCATTGGCAGCCTGATCCGGCCTTGAAATGCTAAGTGTCAAGAGACTTTGATTCCGCAAGTACACCTTGATGAGCGTCATATGCAAGCCCAGAACTACGGAGCGGGCCTCCTACCTTGGCTGTGTTCTCCTGCCACATACAAGTGAAAGGGCAATGATTCGGCACAACTCAATCATATCGTCGTCTGGCCATGACGCGCACCAGACCCTCAGTGAAGGTACCTATATCCCATCACGTTGGACTCACGAGGACTAGAGAAACAAGCCTCCTCACAAGCTCATGATGATGTTTGCAGATGTGGCCTGCCTACGTGAAAGTCGCAGCTTTGTAGGAGAGAACATGTGACAAAGCAATCCAGATTACACACTAACTATGCTATCTAGGTATCCATCGCTTCGTGTCCGGCGAAAGACGCTGAAGGGTAGAAATAGACAATAGCCGTCGGACGGAAGACATAACTAGTAGAAATACAGATCAAAGTTCCCGCCCGGAAGGAAGAGAATTCAGAAAGACCCCATTCCCAGCTCTCTCGTTACCCTCAGCTTGTCAATTCATGAATTCGTGATATCCGAGACCCGAATACCGTTCTTGCCACGAATGATCAGCCGCAGCCGCTGACGATCTCTGAGGAGCGCCTCGTGATAACAATGCCCTCGATCAGACTCAAAGAGCAAAGCAGATGACCTCACGGGAACCCAGGTCCTTAGAAGTAGCTCCTCATGGCATCCTGGTATCCAGTACCACCCTTCAGGTCCCTCTCGAAGCTCTGTAGCACATCGAGGAACTGCGTGATGTGCTTCATACTCAGGGGCTCGCCCCTCTGCACCGCCAAGGCCTGCGCCGTTCGGACACTGCAACATAGGGGTCAGTAAACTGTTCACCAGTCTCGCTTATACGGCGCAGGTCGTCTGCAAGGCGCTTTCCGTTGGTGCGCCAAGCTTGTCAAATGAGAGGGGAGAAAGAAAAGGGGAAAGCGCCTACGTGTTCTTGATCTGTCTGCCGTTGAGCGTGTGGCGTGCTAAGGTATTGTAGTCCTCGTCGGTGAAGTCAACACAGCCGAGCGCCTTCTTGCTGTCTGGTGTCTTGGCCGCTACTTGGCCGCTGCCGCTGCCATTGATGTCGCTCTTCGTCAAAGGTGCGGGTTTCTGCGCCTCGCTCACCTGTGCCCGCACCCGATCAATGAAGATCTTAAAGATTGCCTTCTTGGCCTTGGTGTCCAGCTCGTCGTAGCGCAGCGCGATATGGATTCGGGACTGGAAGGCGTCGTCAAAGGTCTGCCTCATCTATTAGTACCAATACAATATAGCTTCGCAAGACCCTCTAGATGGGCTTGGGGAGGGATGAAGGGATAATCCGTACCTCTACGCGATTTGTGGTCAGAAATAAAATGCCCTGGAAGTACTCAAGCTGTCGCAGAAAGATGCTGACCAACGCATTGCGGTGAATGTCGTGCATGTTGCGCTTCTCCAGGAACACGTCGGCCTCGTCCAACAGAAGGATGGCACCCCACGCGTGGCAGATGTCCAACACCTTTTGCAGTTCGACCTCGAGCAATCGTGAGTCGGTACCCAGGTCGCCCGCCGACACGTTGTACAGCGGGCACTTGAGCAGTTCGCTGATGCCCTCCGCCGTAAGGGTCTTCCCGGTGCCGGGCGGGCCGTGCAGCACAAACACCAGGCCCTTCCCCTTGCCCTGAATCACGTCGTCGATGCTCTCGGCGGCGTGATACTTGTGTGACTCGACCAGAGCCTTGACGATGTCCTTGGTCTTCGGCTCTAGCACCAGCGAGTCGTACGCCGACTCGTTCCACGAGATTTCTCCGACGCCGGAGACTGACAGCTCTAGCCAGAGCTTCTCGGCGAACGCGAAACCCAGGACTACGGGAGATGCGATCAGGTATTCTTCGTCGGCGAACTCAGGGGGGTCGATGTCCTCCTCATCTTGGTTCTCATGCTTTCCATCCTCAGATTCGGCGACCGTCTTGTCCGAGTCTTTCCCACTGCCATCCTTATCTTTATTGGACAGAACATTGTCGAGCTTCGCCTTGCTGCTGTCTTCGCTGAGCTCCGCCTTGGGGATGCGGACTGTGCGAATTTGACCCTTCTTATCGCGGATCACTTTGGTCACGAACTTAACGCGGTTGTTATCGTCCAGGAGGGCGTGGCCACCGTCGCCAGCCTCTTCTGACGAAGTTCCAAAGCACGCGCCACCTTCATCGCCTTCACTGTCCTCCTGGTCGCTGATAAGATCGTGGTCTTTGGGGCGAACGACGGAGATCTGATCATACGAGTTAGCGACACTCTGCTGAGTGCGTCGACGGGTGAGTTCATTTACCGGGTAGTTTGGGTTGTTCCGGCGATGTGTGCTTGGATCCACCATGATGCGGCCGTTGATGTTCACCTTGATGATGGACTTCTTCTTCTTGTAGTAGCCCATACCTTGATGGCTCTTGTAGTGTGCACCGGCGAGGCTAACAAACTTCTTCCCCCGCTCGATGAGTTGCTCGCGCAGCTGGTCTTCGTTCTTGTGATACTTCAGTGGGTAGCAGCCGAGGCTGCTGATCTTGCGAGCGCCACGGAAGTCGCCCATCTCCTCTGACATGGAGCCATAACCGAACTGTTTGCCATCATACTCGAAATACTACCCAGTGGTTAGTTCTGGTGACACACGCTCTGCAAGTAGGGAAGAGATAAAAGGGATCAGCATGTTTGCTGGGACAGGATGGATTATGTACCTTTCCCTCGATGTAATAGAACTCGCCCTTCAGAACGCTGTAGTGCTTCTCTGCTACATCCACCTTGAATACTCGAGGCTCGTCAGCGGAGCCGTAAGTCGTTGTGTATGCCAGGGTGTTAGGCTTCCAGAGAGCCCAGCAGAGATCAAAAGTGATGAGGCCGTTGTCCAGAAGTGGATAGAGACTGAGGATGCGAATTAGCACGAGAGGATACGCCACCACCGATTTAGCTGACTGACCTCTTCTTGACCTGGGCATAGTCCTTGTCGAGGTACTTGACGAGGACACGCAGATGCCGACGCTTCTCGTTGATCCACTTCTGCACCTTCTTGCGTTCCTTCTTGCTCTTGGCATGGGGTACCAGGTCCTTCAAGTTGACCATGTGTTCTCGAAGATCCTCAAGGTATCTTGACAAGTCAGCATTTTTGGCAAAGTCACATCGCCTCTCCAAATGCCTCCACTTACAGGAACAGCATGTTAGGATCAAGTTTTGGCGTCTCCTCCACGAGGCTTACTCCCTTGATATTGCCCATGACATCCTGTAGGGCTTCGCGAAGCTGTTTGCTCTTGATATCGATGACTGTCGCTTTATACTTGCCTTCCCAGTCAAATGTGCGGCGCACGTGAAACAGATACTCATCGTAACGAGAGCTGGTAACGTTCTCGGCTGTGTCCTGCAGCTTGTAGTTATGGATTGACGAGTCCCAGACCTGGTCGACACGCTTAAATTCAAGTCTTTGAGGTCTACGCCTTCCATCTCTGACATAAGCCCTCGACTTGCCTCCCTCACGCCTCCGATCGTCGACATACTCATCGTCATCTTCATCATAATCGTCATCCAGAGGGGGTTCCAAGCTACTGTGACTTCGGCGGTGTCGAATTGTAGTACGACCAGGATGTCCCCGAATGGGAGGGATGGCGTTTCCCAAGCCTCGCTGCCGGCCATCTTGGGAGAAGTTGGTGCCGTTAATCCCGCCAAGGCTCACAGCTCCAGTGTTGAAGCCACCACAGTTGGACTGCCCTGTCGTCTGGAATCCAGGTACTACGTAGCCACCGTTGCCCAAAGCTACACCGTTATAGGCCGCCGTGTTGAGCGGTCCACCCTGGGTGATTAGACCAGCAGCTTGGTTGCGAGACTCAAGTTGCTGGACCTGGCGCTGAAGCTGTTGCAATTGTTGCTGCAAGCTAGGGTCTCTTTGCTTCTTACCGCTCTTGCCTCTATCTCCAATGGTTTTGTCAGCGACTGCAGAGTCGGACGCATCGTCATCCGTATCTGAAGAATCGGCAGACAGAGATTCCGCAGTCCTGCTCTTCTTTCCTTTTTTTGCCGATGGCGTTGACAACTTTTTGGTTTTCTTCCCATTTTTAATGACAGGTTTCAACCTGACATCCTTGCCAACCCCCTCATCCGAATCATCCTCTTCAGACGAGTCTGAATTTGACGACGAGGAAGATGAGGAGACTGAATCCGAACCCGATTCGCTGTCACTTGATTCTGATGAGGTGTCTCTGACCAAAACGGCCTTTTTACCCTTCTTAGACTTGGCTTTGCCGTGCTTGACACTTCGCTTGCTCAATGTTAATTTCTTACACTTGTTCTTCTTCTTCTTCTTATCCTTGGCCTTGGCAGAGCTTTTGGCGTCTGAGACCGCTGCATTGGCTGATGTAGAGCCCTCGGCCTTGGGTACCTTCACATCTTTAGTATTGCTGGTGAGGCTGCCCTCGCGCCGCTCAACCGGGATCTCCTTAGGATCCAGGCTCAAGTCCCCGCGGTCGACCATTGCCTCCATGATTATCGTCTATTGACGGTCAAAGAATAGAACAAGGACAGAGTACGGAATCTGAAGAAATGTGCGGAAAGTTTGGACTTGAGAAATGAGACAAGAAATCGATCGAAGGTTTCTAGGTGGAGTAGACGTCTAGGGCAAGCTGGAATTCGGAGCTTGGTGGCTTATGCCCGTGACTGGTTGGTCCCAAGTTTGTGCTTCGTACTGTCTACTGGCTGAGAATGTTGGTCATGTGAGAATAATACTCTCTAATTTGCAGAGTGCTTCTGGCGAGTCTGTCGTGCAGCGTCGGCCAAGGTCCAATGGTGGGATGGCGCTGTGGTTCCTCCAACGCCAGAGCGCCAGGTGGGAGGCTGTGAGGCGACTACACAATACCCCGCAGTCACCACAGACGGCAAGGGCTGTGGTGAGACCAGGATCTTCCCAGAGAGGTATTGGTTCTCAAATTATTCGGGCGCAGAAAGAAGCAGAAAATTTTAGGGCATCCAGAATGATGTTGAATTGTTCGATGTGGGACGTGAGTCTGCCTATCGTATTGGTGGCGGATGGCGGATGGCGGATGAAATCGCGACCTTGGTTCAAAGGCGATCAACCACGGAGAGGGTGGTAGGATGGAAGGGCTTCCGAGTGGACCGAAATGCAAGTGAATTTGGCAAATGGGACGTAAGATGGCTTTCAGAATCGGGCGCGTCCAGTGCCGGAGGTCGACGAATTATATGAATACTAGGCAGCGTTTGCCTCAGGAAAGAAGAAGCCGGGCGGCTGTGCAGGCAGACAGACAACCGGTCGGGCAAGGCTGACTACGACCTAGCTACCCTATTGCATTCGCCGGCGGCCTCGATGTGATTGATGTATTTAAATGTAGGTATGCAAACCACTCACGATGAGACCTTGTTCTTGCAGCTGACCCGCCGTTCTCGCAATATGACTGCAGGACGATGTTGCAGCCTGCTTCTACTGGTTACAATGTGTCAGATCACGCATGCGCCCCCATATGCACGAACAAAGAATTTGCAGATCTAGTAACAACGGTCAGCTTGGCCTGCCACTGCCCGTAGGCTGGAAGCCGTTTTTGAACTCATCAAAATCACGGAGTATGCTTGGGCGAAAGGCCCCCGGCAAACATTCCTCACCGCGCCGAAAGGCAACGCTCCTGCGAGGCGTTGGTTCATTACTACTGCATCCAGTAGGGACAAGTACAACACGTCTAGCAGAGTAGGCACCTGGGTGGGATAGTGAAGCTAGTACCTGAACCCAGATGAGGCAGCATGAAATAAGTGACTGCTTGAATACCTAAGATACCGAGCAAGAAGGCATGTAGTCTTGGCCTGCTAATGGACGCCTTGCAATTCTTTGAATGTTGAACACCGAAGGTGCTTCATTGGAGCGTACCTATGTAGGTACCTAATTCATGTTTAGACCTAGCAGTCTGGCTAACAACGATCACATATTCTGATAGGTGTGTGCCGGGCACGCAAGTAGGCCATGTACCCACTGTTGCATGCAGCCTATCAAGCGAGGCCCTCTCTCCCAGTTGGCCGGGTTGAGCGAAGCCTAGCGGACTTAAGTAGGTACCAGTAGATATGTACCCAATCTAGTTCGCCTATGTGTAGGAGGGGTGCTTTTGATGTCGCTTAGGTTCTTCATTCGGAGGGACAAATTCACAAGGCTACGTTGAGCTTCAACTTGGCTGCCTATTCTGTTACATAGGCCTAAATGGAGAGTTGGTACTGTCACACGGCGAGGCTATATAGCTCAGGCAACGGACCCTGCAGGCCCGGTAGGCAGCCATCCCTCCTTTTCTCGATGGGCTCAAGGCTGAGGTGACCGTGGTTTCGCTTTGATCCCAGTTCCGAGGTCTGATCAGCCTTTTGGCATGGGGGCGGTGACTTACATTGGGGCTGCTATGAGCCCTGCAGTTTTCGTCTGATGCCGTAGACCGTGCCAGTAGCCGCAGTCCTTTTGGTAGGCCAAGAATTTGCGATAGATTCTGCGCGCAATCCAGAGCCTCCTTGGACAAGGGTGCTTCAATGGACATTCCTGTCAGATGCGCGCCGGAGGCTGTGAAAAGCTTGGTGGATGTTCGAAGACGGCTACTCACAGAACGACAGGTCGGGCCTTGGGGTTTCCGACGTTACTCTCATCATCTACTTATCCACTAGTGATGTATATCCGATCCGTGGGATGTAGGCTAGATAAAGCGGACCCTAGCAGGCACCCGACCGCGCTGGCACGAAAACACCAGCAGCCGCATGTAAAGAAATATATATGTGGCAATCGTTGCATGGTCGTCCAAAGGATTTCTGAAGACTTCGCGCGGGGGCGGCACAGACTTCGGGACAAGCTTCCTCACCGAAGCCATGTATTCTTATCATCTACTAAGATTCGAAATGGAAGTCGAGGAGGTACCTAGAAGGACGGAAAGTTGGTTAGTAGTTGGTTGGCCCTTTTCGACGTCTTGCATCGACTGAGGCATGCAACACACCCAAGTCCACCCCACCTCCTCTTGATCAGTGGCCGACCCCACAGCATTCGTTGGCTATTGCACTGTAACCACACGTATCGGTCACTAGAATGCACAACATGAAGGCCACGACCGAGTTCCTATGTTTTCATATGCCGGCGGCCGAGCGAGTTTATGCCAGCGGCTGGCCGAAGCGTTCCATCCGAGTTTCACGTCACCACCAACATCCTTGGTATTCGTCCACAAGTGGTTCGTTGCTGGCAGTTACCGAAACGTGAATAAGTTGGCACACCTCGTCCAATAAGATCAGTAGTGAGAGGCACACATAAAACTAAAACAAGTTGAAACAAAATTGGGATTTATCTTTACAAAAACTGGCAATCCGTGCAATGCGTACTCGGCGGGACCTTATGTCAGTAATTGCGTAATTTGTCTAAGTTAGTAGCGCGCGCATATCTGGCTGGCCGGTTCCTGTCCGAGGGCGAGCGTGGTGGGATTTTCTAACAGGGCATCGTTTCTCCACCCAGGACTCAGACGAGCATAATAATACACCACGACGACCCCGTGTATAGTTATTTCGGTGCTAAAATGCACTTTGCTTCAACGTGCTAAGGTGCACGGTGTTCTGAAAACATGATGGCATTGGGAGGCTTGGCTGCACATGAACTTGGAGTGCTTCAAGCTACAGCTTGACGACTTGGGAACGCCACTGGTGTATGAGTATGGCGGAATGCTTGGCGTATACTGTTGTAAGCTGATACTCTCGATACTTTAGACAAGGTAGACACCGAGGTAGTCAACGCGGTAAACCCTGGGTGTATAGGGAGATCTGCGTGCGGCCCTGCTTCAGGCCCACCCGACGGGTCGTACGGTACCTGGACTTCCCATGTGTACATAGTAATAGCTCAGCAGCTCCCCGCCATAACCTTCCTTGGAAGTGAGGTCCGCCAGGGATGGAGACTGGAATGGAACCCTGCGCACATGCAGCTGTACCTTGGACCTTGTGCCGTAGTACTGTGGTGGTTAGAGCTCCCCACTTGACGGAGCGCCGCTAGTCCTCGGTACGTCATGGCCAGCCATTTTTGCTTCGACGATACACTCTCCAAGGCGCGGAAAAACAGGTAATCTGCAGGCTTGATACGCGGGCGCGGCCAATTGACCAACACTTTCTGACGACTGCTGCAGAAAAGCCCAGTCTCACCTTGATTGTTTCCCCCGTTGCCAATTGACGGGTTTCTTGTCGTCTTCAATTGCCAGTGTTCAGGCTACAACTCCCCGTCTCCTGCGACCATCTTCCCAGTCGGGTCCTAGTAATCCGCTGGCTTGCGACTGCCTCGAGAATTCCTGCAACAGACAAGGCAAGCCGACAATGGCAAGGACGGGCAGATTCAGCTTCTCCAGGTTGATGGGATGGAATCGGCACCCGCATCACGAGCGCGAGTGGATGATCCACGAGTCGCGTCGCAGGCGTGAGTAAAGTCGTCTTTACCTCCAAACCCGCTCCCCGTCTTGCATCTGACGACAATGCCCTCGCTCTTGGGTCCCTACACACCCGAGTTCCGCAACTGGGCTAACAACAGGCGTTTCATCGCCCGCTACAAAGTGCTGCCGCTGTACCGCGATACCCACATCGAGTCCGCAATCCCGGCCGACGAGGTGACCAAGATTGCCCTGCGCCTTCGCTATCTGATAGAGGAAGCCGTTCCCTGCGAACTCGAGGACGAGCAAATCACCCGCCCACACAGCAAGGTCATCACCAAGAAGGTCGTCAAAGCGGCCAAAGAGGCTGGTGGTCCGGACAATCGGGCCTGCGTCGTCTACTGTCTGCTGGTGGTAAAGAGATGGTTCAAGCACCAGGCTCTTATAGAGCTGTGGGACGCAGATTTGCACGCAGTCAGGGCTGTGGCCTGTGAGGTCATTGCAAAGCAGATGTGAGCATCCCGCTGCCCTTTCCTACACGAGTATGTAGTGCTGACAGCTGGACAGCATCGAGACAGAAGAGGACATGACCTACCTCTTGCATTCGGTCCTGCTCAAACGCTATGCCTTTCTGATTGACGGAGAACCCACGCCACCCGTCAATGTCATTGAGAAGGCGGTTGATCTGCATGCTCTTCGTGTCATTGGGTCATCGGGTTACCAGGTAAGCAATTGACCACTCTCCTTTCCCTTTTTATGTCGTACAGCATGTGATACTTTGGGTCCTTTGTTTCCTGTGTGCAGTGCTAGTTATCGAGCTTGAGAAACCAAGTCGAGCCTATTGATAAGCGGAACAATGCTAATAGTACTTTCTTATAGAAATGCGTAAGCTATCTCTGGAAGGGTTGGCTTGTTCAGGATGAGGATGATCCTGCAAGCTTCGTCGACTTCAAAGACCGGGACAACACGTCCTTGCTCTCCCATTTAGATCCCGATCGTATGAGGGCGCCAATGTACCAGAATGCAGCGCAGCTCTTGATCTCCCTCATCTACTTGGCATTGTATACTGGTGCTATCAACACCATCAACCCGAATGGCGACCTGGACGCTGTTGAAGCTCTGCTCTACGTCTTTACTTTCGGCTTTATCTGCGACGAACTTACCAAATTTTGGAAGGCCGGGTATCATATCATCGGATTCTGGAACGTGTTCAACGGTCTACTTTACTCGTTGCTGGTCGTCTCGCTCGCCCTACGGTTCGTCGCCTTTAGCCGGGATTGGGACGACAACAGGCAGCACTTCAACCAGATGAGCTACAGCTTTTTGGCCTTCGCTGCACCCATGTTTTGGGGCCGTCTACTGCTCTATCTCGACAGTTTCAGGTTCTTCGGGGCTATGCTTGTAGTCTTGAAGGTCATGATGAAGGAATCTGTCATCTTCTTTGCTCTGCTCTTCGTTGTCATTGTTGGGTTCTTGCAAGCATTCATCGGGATGGACTATGCAGACGATATGGTTGGTGACGACACTATATTCATTCTGCAGGCCATGGCCAATGCTATCATGCAGAGCCCTGACTTTACCGGCTTCGAAAGATTCAGCCCTCCGTTCGGCATCATTCTATACTACCTCTTCACTTTCGTCGTGATGATCATCCTCCTCAACATCCTGATCGCACTCTACAACAGCGCCTACGAGGATATCTACGAGAACTCAGATGACGAATTCCTAGCCCTGTTTTCTCAGAAGACGATGCAGTTCGTCCGCGCCCCGGATGAAAATGTCTTTATTGCGCCTTTCAACCTTGTCGAGATCTTCCTTCTTGTTCTTCCATTCGAGTGGTGGATGCCTAAACACGCATATGAGCGGCTCAACGACATTGTCATGGGCACGATCTACTCTCCCCTGCTGCTCGCCGCTGCCTTCTTCGAAGTGCATACTGCCCGGGATATCCGCAGAAACCGTTCGCGTGGTGAAGATGACGACGACACAGTTGAAGAATGGGAGCAGATGGTCGACCAAGTTGATTTTGAAGGAGAAGGATGGACCAAGAAGGTAGCCGAGAGTAAGAGCAATGTTGAGGAGGAACCGGCTGTCCTCGAGGTCAGAAAACTGAGAACCGAAGTCAATGAGCTGAAAGATCTCCTCCAGCAACTCAGCAAGGCTTTGGAAAAGACTGGCGCTGGCGAAAGCTTGATCTAGGGGTCACCGCCGCCTTTTGGCCGTTCTTGATAGAAGTAGCTCTCGGTGAGTGGGAGGTTCTTCATAGTGAGGACTGTTATGTTTGTTCTTAGGTGCAGGTCCAAGCAGTACTTGGGGTTTCTATGGTATCATGGAATCAGGAGGGGACATGGGACGTTCCTTTTACAAGCGATTGCTGACCTGGATTACTGCTGTAAGGATCTCCAGTGTGCATCTGAGTTTCCGCGTAAGCTAACAGTTTGATGGCGCAAGGGAGGGAAATGGACCATGGTAACGACATTCCAGTCTAAATACGATTTCAGCATTCCTGGTCTGATTCCAGCTGTGCCCATAATAAATTGACATTAATATTTGTTCGTTGCCGTGCTTACCTTTCTCTCATTTGATCATTTCTTGCAAGTCAGCCGACTCTACTCTGCACCATGACGGGCCAAGACGTTGATATGTCTGGCACACACGGTGCCAGAAGGTCCCAGCCCAATGCTGGGCAGGGGCAGCCCGCGGTAACAATCAACAACGGTCCATTACTCTCTCCATACGCTCAACATTTCTTCCCTTCGGATGTCCCATCCTGGCGGAATTGGTATGGCCAGCTTCATTCAGAATTTGCCCCAATGTACCCGTACCTCAATCTGAGCAACTTGTCAGCAATGCCGCCGCCATCACCACAAACTCTGCCGTCCAATGCTGAGCTTGACATACTTTTTGTCCAGGAGCGGATGCAACAAAGCTGGCTATTTGGTCTCAAAACTTGGCAAGTCGCGCCTCTGCAGATGCTTCCAGATGGATTCTCAGCCAGTACGCCTCTCCCTAGCCTCCCACCAGATTCGGGCGACGCGGGCTGGGCAAGGTACGAAGCTGGACTAATTGAAGTGGATGAGACCTCTTGGTTCAGTTTCTTCAAACGGGACAGGTGGTTTGATGTGAGAGAAAACTGTTTAGTGGACATTCAGGATCCTTTTCCTGCAATGTACAACCATGCGACCAATTGGTGGACCGTCGATAACGATGAAATCTGGAGGCACCTCAGACTCCCCATCGAAATGGCTAATCGTACATTGCTACACCTTTTCAACGAGCCCAGGCCTAATTGGTTCGTGCATAACCACCTTCCCTTCGACTAAGTCTTGTGGGTTTCGTGCTAGATTAACGAGATCCGTAACAATACAGGATTGAACGCCTGCTTTTCGGCGCGAGGCTTGACTGGTCCGTCATATCCGCCGCGCTGAGAGAGGAGCTGAAGAAGAACCCCAATACCCGGAATCCTCCAGTTCTGATGCACGATGGTTTCACTAGACCGCGAAATATGCTGCTTCAACAAATGGAAGCGTTCAATAAGAACACAATTTGGTCCTTCATGGAGGAGAACACGTCGGCTGAAGGTCTAGGCGCCTGGGGTTTCACCTTGACCATGGACATTAGCCTGCCGCTCGGTCAAATCGAGGCGACTAGATTTCAAACCATCCTAGTCCACGCTGGTTTCATTCGGGGCCTTTGTGATCGTACCACTACACTTCCAGAAAGGGCGAATTTACATTTTAATCTTACAGTCACGGTAAGGAGAACCCCGAATCGACGAACTCGCTGACGGAGCTTACATCCCTGCCCAGATTCTCCACGAACTCATGGTAAGAACTTGGAGTTATACTCAATTCCCCAGCGGAAAAGCATTGCTGAGCAAGGGATAGCATGCCACTTTTATGCAACGGCAATGGCTTGAACGTTTTGTCATCCCACTGAACAATTATGATGAGCCTGTAAGTAAGTGTGCGGGTGCATTGGTTAGTCGAAAACTCATGGCCCTTTTTTTTTTTTAGCATATCAACAAGGAGCCCTTCCAGGAGGTTGGCTGGTCATACGAGCTGCATATGCTGGGCGGGAAGTTGCAAATTGCACCTCAGCCTGCAAAAGGAATGCCATCCGAGCGCATGGAAAAGTTTCGAGGGGGCAACATGCACCTGATGTTGCAAGAATGGCCTGACTATCTTGCGCACTCCAGCCTACCAACGGTGCTTCAATACGGCGATACAACTCCAGTCACGTTCAATTTTCCCTTACCGGTGGCGTATTCCTCGGCATTCTCGAATGCATATTTTTGGGACTATGTAGTTGACAAGCACGGCTCCAAGGCTTTCAAGGCACCAAAGATATTACGTTGCGAGGTTACCAGCCCTTGGTTTTCTATGGGGGTACGACACTACGCCGCGCGCCGAACACGTATTCCTCACGACACCCCCGAATCCTTCAAGGACTCATATCGACAGGTGCTCAGTGTTTGGAGCACAAGAAGGGCGGCGTGGGAAAATCACCGTCCATGGTATGCATGGCAGTACTTCCTGTGGGGGATGTCACCATGGAGCTGGACTCGTGGTCGGGAATACATTGAACTTTTTCGCGCAGCACACGCTCGAAGAGATTACACGGCGTGCCTTATTCAAGTAGGAGCGCTCACAAAATACAGACAGTGGAGCGATTACTTTGAACAGGGCAACGAAGGCAATCCTGTTATATGGCTGTTCATATCGATCGGGTATTTGATGTTGGCGACACTTCCTCCACGGTCATGGAGCCAACTTGTACTCCCAGACCCGCAGAAGAGAACGTTGAAGATGTATCCCACGTCTCGAGCGACCCCTCCCTTTCTCCCAGGGGCCGTCATCGACCTATCAGAAGTACGCCCTGACTTGGACGCCCTCGATCTCGCGGATTGGCGCAGAACCCGTACCGTTACGGCGGATCCAGTGATATTCCCCGCAGATCCTATAGCACGATTTGAAGAACTCTTCATGGTGAACGCACAGGTCTATAAGGTGCCCACTGCCTGGTTGAAGATGATTCTCACATCTTACAAGATCATCAAATCCGGTTACATCCACAGAGCTTCCTTAGGAGCCAGCCAGGCTAGTCGCACTTGGCTTGATTTCCCTTTCCAAATTCCGCTGTACGACACCGATTGGGGTTATGGGCAGCTATGGCTGAATCAGACCGGGAGCATTCTTCAAATGGATATAGCTTCTGGTGTGTTGCCACCTGACAATGATATAGGCCGGCTCCTGAGCCCCCAGCGAAGTCCGGTCCACCGTCCATTACAGGATTTGCCCAGCGCTACCGGGCCCCCCACCGTCAGGGTGACGGGAAGAAGGACGGCAATGAATAAGCAAGATGAATTTACCGACTACGACCCATCGTTGCCCAGATACTATACCATCAGTCAAGTAGGGAATCATATTGACTCAGATAATTCGACCTGGGTTATTGAGTCAGATGGGGATTGCAGCTATGACGTATACAGAATTACAAGTAGGTTGACATACTTGAACAAGCTGCTTATAGCACCATTGAGGGCTGATAATAGGTAGAAATGTGCCGAAAGCTAGGATACACAACTGCGCGACGGATCCGAAGTCGACTGCTTGAGGTCGGACCACTTGGTCCTATGTTACGGACCGACGGAGATGAGCATGCCAATAAAATACGTTGTGAGTTCGGCAAGTCGATATTTCCACTTGGAAAACTTGTCGTTCATCGACGACCTGAAGATATTGCCGAGTACGATGGTACGAATGGGATGCCAGTGTGGATTAGGATAGGCGCCAACGTCTACGACTTGACAGGTGCGTGATACCCCCCATGCAGTACACGAAGTTCGTGTGTTTTCCTCCCCCTTGGTATTGACCCGTTTCGGCCAGATTTTAAGCTTCCCAGGAAGGATCAGGCAGTGATGGACGCACTAAAGAAGAATCCAGGAGGGCATCCACCAAATATTCCCAAGTATCCCGACCTATGGGAGAAGTTGCGGCAACACCGATGCGCTCTTGTGATGGAATACCACCGACAACCACAAGATGTTCTCCATCCCTTCACTGAGAAAATGCTAAGGTACCATGACAATCCGACTTACGGATGTTATACGGCAATCGACGGGTATGTGTACGATATCGGTAGTGAGTTTTGTCTCTCCCTGGACAGTGAGCGATCAGCTGACTGTGCACTAGACTACCTCGAAAATCACCCTGGTGGCGATACTATCCTCATCAAGTACCTGGGACAAGAGGCTACCGAGTTCACTGACTGGCACGACGTCGAGCTTATGGACAATTACCCGGAGCTCCGCATCGGACGAATCGTACCTGAGATACATCTTGACCAGCTCCAGAAACACCAAGTCGCGCTCTGCGGGTGGGTCTTTGATATCTCCGGCTTGGATCCAGAGCATAATGACCAAGATGCTCATACGTGGATCCATGCAAAAGTCAAACAATTTGGTGGAGCCGCTGCAGATGAGGCCCTAGGAGATACGCAGTCTGAGAGGGCAGCCGCTCTAATGCAGCTACACCTATACGAGAAAGACCTCATTGTCGGCAAGGTCCGCCATGATGAATCTCTCCCCTCCATTCCTATCGGGGAGCTGAGGAAGTACAACGATCCCAAGGGCGTGAATGGCGCCTGGACTGTTGTCGATGGATTGGTGTATGACGTGACTGGTAAGCCTTTTCTTATAGTTAATCGATTTGGTTTGTTGTTTTTCACGTGCAGAAACCGAATTCTAATATCCCCAATTCAGCACTGATGCTTCATGGCCCCCCGTTCTTTGAATACGAAGTTCCAGGGGCCTGGGCCGGTACCAATCTTAATGACGACAACTTGGCGTACTGGCTAGCAGAGAAGCATCCATATCGTGCCATTGGAAGATTGGTCGAGGGACCGGCATGGGAGTTGCCCATAGTCCCTAATAGTGAGAAAAAGCCGGATCCAGTTACTCCGGATTGGAACACATTTTTTGGTTCAAACACGTCTGTCCCGGCCAAGATTGTGCAGTGGGCCAAGGAAACGAACCCGACGAGGGAGGCGTTTAGCGAGAAGCTGGCGAAGCACTACTTGGACCAAGGACCCCCAGCGTTGGACAGGGCAAACGGCAGAACTGAGGTGTTGACGCTGCCTGATGCCGTTGAGTGGGGTGCAGGCAAGTAGAGTCGATATTGCGTAGCAAGCGGTGGAGGGGGCAGAGGCGGGG